TGGCCTCAATGGAACGCTTCTTCTTAAACACTTTCCCAATGAACCTCTATACATAGCTTGTTCTGTTTCGTTTTCTAGTACCCTGAGCCACGAACACATCTCACTTCAGCTACTCATCAAACCTCTGAGAGCAGTGAGCATCATTGCTAGCTGATTAGGCATACCCTCTGAATCGGAAACTGTTCTTTCAGTTTCTTTTGGGAACATTCAATCAACTAGTTCAATAGAATTATTTATTAGAAGATTATTAAAATTGAACGTCATACGTTTGCATTGCACAGAGTAGAGAATCGTATGTGAGCTTAGATTATTTGCCGGTTCCTGGACAGGGATAGCATTCTACTGGCCCTCCAAAGAAGTTTCTTTTCTTTCTACGCCTAAGTCCGTCTAGTTGTGCGGTACACACATTGCAATCTTCCTGGAAAGGTTAAAAATCATGAAATAAGGTTTGATGAACATGAACGTACAAATAGATTTCGCTTGACTCGGTGTCGGCATTGAGGGAATGCCATGCAGTTTTGCTATAAAAAACAGTATCTGTTAACAAAGATTATAGATTTACCTCCGAAGCATTGATCAGAGGTCCTCCGAACGCTCTCTTTGTACGTCGTCCATTGAATCCTGATCCACATCGCTCACACTTCTTCCTACGGAACACAGCCTGAACAGATATATATTCATGAGGAAAGAACCGATCATCAAACATCTCTCTTAGTCCTCTTATGGTACACTTTCTGGAAAATAGCATATTCGACTTCATTCAAACAATCCTCTGTCTGATCACATCGTTGTCGTCTTCTAGGAGAATCATCATGTCCCTGAAAAGAAAGCATTCGTTTATTGTTGTATAATATCAATTTACCCCAAAGCCGCTATCATAACCCTTACGTCGACGAATGTCAGCTATGGCATCTTTCAATGAGATGTGTTTCTCCTAAAAATTGAACAACTAGTATCACATAACTGTTTGGGGATACGAACCTCTCCGTCGTCTCTCTTCTTTCTACTGGCTAGAGCCATGGTAACCCAAGCTGGACAAGGTACACAACCCTGAACTATCTTTTTAGAAAATGAATATGTGTCTGGAAGCTGACCCCTGCTGCATCTGGGGCGAAAAATTGTCTTTTGACACGGGCATGTTCTTCCAGCTTGATCTTGTGTTCTTCCATAGCTTGTTTATACTCAGCGACAGCCTGAAAAACTTCAGCTATTGTTTCATTTGGGATGACGAGTTACCTTATGATACTGTTCGACTCGATCTACATGGCGCTTTCTGCGGCGTTTCTGAGCCAGAACACAAGCTGGGAACTTCATGCAACCACCGGCTCCTAGGCAACTCCGTAAGTATTCAACTTGATTGAGCTATGATACCTTCAGAAGCTACTGTTTTAGATAAAACTTTAACAATATCGAGTAATCCTTGTGGGTTATAAGCTTGGCGCTTCATTCGTGAAACCATGAACTCATCCACTTGACAAGTCGCCTCGCGTTTTCTTCTTTCGGTGTGGCAACGCTTAAATGAGGAAATAAGTTTTTTGAGATGTATGAAAAACAAACGTCGATTTCGGCTTCTCTCTTCTTACGACCATAATGTCCCTGACAAGGCTCACAATACTGAGATCCCAACAAGTTTCTTTTGTAACGATGGACGTGTAAAGTGCATTGTGGATGGGGAAGACACTAAACAAAAAAAGTTTTCCTCGATTATAGTTCTTGACCGTACGGCTCCTCGTTTCTCTCTTTTCAATGGAATGCCAACTGGAGAAGTAGGGTTCCGATTTGGTTGCAGTGGATTGTTCTCCGAGTATTGTGGTTGCAAATATGCACATCTAAGAATGTTTCAAAAGAGATTTTATTCACCATATTGATGCTATACCTGATACAATTCAAAGATCTTTTGGCTCTTTTCAGAATTCGTTTACCATTGAGGCATACTCCACACTGAAGATATAAACTATGCTTAATACTATCCGTCTATGCTTACCCCATCACGCTTAACACGGTGAGCTCGCTGCTCTGCGTACAATCTTCCAGCTCTAGGCAGATCGAAAGAGTCTTGCTGTATATGAATATTATTGATTTATCCAGTTATAGAAAAAAACCTGAGTGTGTCTGGGCGCAATTGGAGTTGGAGCAACGGTTGCGGTTCTCGCGCCCTTCACAACAACTTTTTTATATATTTTTGTGATATCTGAGAAATGAACGTTTGAATGTTAAAAACACGAACGGATAATTAAGCAGTGTACAACACGTATCCGCTTATAGATAGTGAACAGAACTACTTACGTGGTTGGCAATGAAGCCCAGCATCTCTTTTGGATCTAGCTCCCAACATTATACGTTTGCGGCATGGGCAAGTTGGGCACGATCTTTAAAACTTGACCATCACAAGGAAATGATTTTTGGACTAACCTCAAGCAAGGAGGAACAGTAGCTAAGCAACCGATTTGCGGTAAAGTTATCTGTGGACAACATGGGAGAGGAGGGAGTGGAGGTGGATCTGGTGGACAACATGGCTTCTGAACTCCTGTAACTTGATCGCAACACGCTGGATTCTTATAGTAACAACATGGCCGTCCACATCCACAATCTTAATTATTAGGAACTGTGAGTCTCTTCTGAGAAATGTATAACAAACCTCCACCCGGACAGTTCGACTGGCATCCTGTACGAGATTCTCGCTGTCCTCCGCAGCACTGAACTGGAGGCTCTGGAGGTGGAGGAGGTGGAGGTGGTGGTGGAGGAGGTGATGGAGGTACTGCTGCTGGACAACACGATCTTGGAGCACTTGAAGGAGCTGGTGGCGTATCCCCTACAGGAGGATGTAACTCGTCTTCAGTTTCGTACTCTTCGTATTCTGGTCGGCGACCACTGGAACGAAAGAACGAGATACTAATCACGGCACATATTATTACCGGCAACATGGTCGGGGACAGCATTGAGGAGTGGCTGGACAACAAGGACCAAACGCTGGCTGACAACATGGTTTGGGTGGTGGTGGAGGAGGGCAACATGCCAGGGGCAATGGTTCGGAAGAGCAACAAGCTGAATGCAGGTACTGTCAGTACACGTTTACTCTCAAAATCTTACAGCTAGAGCAGCAGGTTCTTGAAGGGAATATGTCACAACCGGAACAGCCACATGAACATCTTTTCCGACGAGAATTTCTTGAAAATGAGTTCATATTTTGAAATCACAACGACAAGAACAAACCTGGCACTGAGAGGAACAAGATTTGTCTCATTAGCAGCTATGAAATGAGTAGGGAGATCATAAGATTTCAAATGACTTTCGAATTTCACTAGAAGATAACATAGGTATAGGAAAAGAAGGAAGAATAACTACCTTTGTTAGTGAACAGAACATCAGTGTGGTCATCTGGGAACTGCTCATCGGCCGTTGCCAAAAACGGTAAGAGGGTGAGCAGAACGGCCCACCCGAATATGGCCGTCATGAGAGGAAAAGTCTGGAAGCAGCTGAGCATGAAGCAATCATAAACGTTGTGTTATTCCTAATGCAGAAATAAAAATGAACATTCGACACAAAAGCTTTGGAAGACAAAAATGAAAGAAAGGGAGAGGGTAACAGTTGAAAATGAATTAAAACGAGAATGATAAGATGGGCGGAGGCTACGAATCCAGAAAATATCGAGAAAGCTTCATCCCTTCTTCGGCTAAAGGCTAATTCTCGGCAGTTTTTATAAAAAGGTCATGTCCGGCCAGTTGATAAGGAAAAGATAAACACGTTCTGATGGGGTTTAAAGACGTCCTTTGGCCATTTTGTTTCTGAGAAACTTTCTCCAACTTTCTCCCCCCCTACACTACCTTGTCTTCCCTTTCTCTCTCTATCTCTCACTTTCTTTCTCTCTCTCACAAGCTTCTCTCAATAGCTTTCCTTTGCTAATAGTTCACTTTGGAATATCTTGAAGCCTGTCAGGATGATGAAAATGATAAGCGAAAACTTGGAATACCTGATTTTCTCCTCTTCTCCTGTGATGTCCGCAAGTTCATCTTCATCACAAAGCGTGATAACCAAAAAGAAGATTATTTTCGAGAACTGGACGATTTCAAGAAACAATGGTCGAGCCGGTTATCAATCACTTGGCCTATAAATCATTTCTTTAAAAGTTACTTCGATCAATTTTTAATTTTTGATTTGAAAATGCACTATGAAGAGCACACATGGTTTTCCTTTACCGGTCACTCTTCTGCAATGAGTCAGTTCCAACATGGGATGGAATTGACAAGGCTAAGCAGAGATGCTAGCACTTCTCGATTTGACATGAACGAACGAGACAAAAGCCGTCCGAAACCCGTTTGAAACTCAAAATACTGCTTCGAAACGATTTTTGGAAACAAATTGGTATTCAATTCATAAGCTTTCCATCTCATCGATAACGTCCATCTGTCGAAACACAGCCGAATCAATTAGAAATTGAGAAGAGAATGAAAATTTTATTAAATTTTTTTGAAAAATCCAGAATTAATCGGACAAACAACCCGTAAAGAGGAGATAAATATACATTCAGCATATGTTATTATGGTCAAAACGTTGGTTTTTTTGAAAAAGAAGTAAACGAGGGATAAAACGTGAGAATGAAAAACGAGCAAACCGTTTGGGATGGAAAGCTTAACAAGCCGAAGAGATAAAAAGAGTTTTAAAGGCAGTGTTTGGCACTGAAGTCAGGTAAAAACAGTAAAGCTTGAAAGAGAAAGAAAAACAAACACAAGAACATACAGACATGCTTCAGACAGTTCCAGGAACAGATCAAAGTCTCAAAATAGCATAAGAGAACTGGGTGGGAGAGAGAGAGAGAGAATAGAGAGAGCAAAGGTAAGAAATACATATCATCACAGATCTGATAAAGTTCAAAACAGACGGTGCGAGAAAGAATACTTTGAGAAAGATACTTATTAAAATTCGTTTGATATCGTAGTTGATCACCATAATTGCCTAGTATGGATTAACCCTCTCGGAAAGACTATCGGTACAGAGGTTGCAATTCGGGCAGTTCATAGATTGACTGTGTGTCCGGTAACAAATGCACACTTCTGGGTAGATTGGCAAAATACGGATGAAGCATGGCACTGGCAGCCGACAGGCGGTCATCCGGCCGTAGCTGAAAGCTCATTTTCAATTGGCATACATGTCCGTACGAACAAACCTGAAGGAACATGGATAGAAGCTCGAGACCAGGTCTTTGCAATTTCTCCAGTTGCCCATTTACTTCTGTGAAGGGTGTTTCCCAATAAGGCGCCATTCGCAACAAATAGGAATAGTGTGGTAATTTGATCACCTGGAGAGAACAAGCTTTACATACGGAACTAGATGTTATAAAAACCTCTGGCCACCTTCGAGGATTAGGAAGACCGCGAACGGAGAAAATGCGTTGCAACTGATCTGTCACATCTCTTGTTCCAGGAAACAGTGCTTGACCGGAACAAATTTCAGCAAAAATACATCCAACACCCCTTAATCAGTTGACCATTAAGATTTCAAAAAGTTTGAATGAGATTACCACATATCCAGAGATGTTGTGTAATCAGTATTGCCGAGTAGAACATCGGGTGGACGATACCAGAGAGTTACAACCTAAGTAGAAACCTTCGTTGAAATAATTGTAAAGCGAAAACAACCTCATTCGAGTACGTCCTACTTGGAACTGACTTAGCTCGTGCGAGTCCGAAGTCAGCAAGTTTCAAAACGCCGTCATTATCAAGTAACAGATTTTGGGGTTTGAGATCTCTGCAGAAGACATACAGTAACAGGAGAACGATTCAATAACCAACCTGTGGAGTATTTTCTTTTTGTGACAGAAGTCTAAGCCTCGCAGGAGTTGGAAGAGAAGAAGTTTGGTTTGGAAGTTATCAAGCCCCGTCGTATGTGCCTCTAAGTATTTGCTCAAATCCATTTTCTGTAAGAATTGGATTAGGGAAAGTACGAATATAAGACTTCAAACCATGTACTCAAAAACGAAAGTTAATTGATTATGTTGCAGGAAGATGTCATGTAAACAAACTATATTCGCATGTCTCAAAGTTCGAAGTAGTGACGCTGAAAAAATAATTTGAATATTCTAATCTCCCACGCCAAACGTCATTTATTTCATTTTCTCAATACAGACGCTAGGAACCGGTTGTGCGCTTGTGCGAAAAAAAGTGAAATTGTTAGTTTTCGTTTGAACAAAGATTTTTTCAGATGAAAGCGAACAATGGGATACGAACCTTCTCTAATGGCAGTGAAAGGTAATCCTTCTTGGAACTGCAACTTGATTTCCTTTAATGCCACTATGGGTCCATCAACTCTGAATTATGAAATAGTTTAGATTTATGGTTCTCTCTTACTTAGATCGACACTTGTAAACTGTTGCATAGCTACCTTCTCCTAGCTTCTCTATGCGTTCATACAACTCACTGACACTGTGTGTCGGTAAGTCCTGAATAATGAATACCATTATTTAATTTTTGATTTACTGTCCTACCTCTTTTGGCAAAGATATGCTGTTGGGCTCATAATGAGCTGAACGCGGTCGTCGACGTCGTAAATGGGAAAAGTCAGCTACTGTTGTTGAATTCGGACATGAAGGAGCTACTACAGTTCGCGAAACGACGATAGCTTCGTTCGAGTTAGCATTGTTCGATCGCGAGCGATTCCTGCAATTATCATTATGAAAGAGAAGTGAGAAATGAAAGTGTAAAAACCTCAAAAAGTTAAGAATTTGTTTGCTGGCAGTTTGAGCTGTAGTTGAATGATGATGTCCATTGGCTTGGCTATGCCAAGATTGGGTCATGGAGTCAGGCAACTTGTCTGCAACGAATAAGGATTCAAGCTTTTTCACGAAGTTTTATCACTCGGGCATTGGTAAATGAAGGAAATTTGAAGGGTTTCCTCAATTTCCGGTGAGTGTAATGAGGCGAAAGTTTGACGGATTAGATAGAAGAAACTTACCATTGTTTTTCGATTTCTTCTCTTTGTTCCTGCCCCTTCGTAAGGTGAATAGCGATGTCTGCAAGACATGATCAGGTTAGAAGAAACTCTAATAAGCATTCAACTTTGAACATTGAAAGCTCCTCACTGTCAATCACTTCACACAACTAGGAATTGTCAAATCGATAATTGTTTTTAAAACTTTTAATCGCGCATTAAGTACTTCCGGAGGTTCGATTTCACAATACTCCGGAAGCGGAAAACTTTTGAACTGCGTACAAGTAGAATTACCGTACCTTGCTTGTGTGATGGGACTGTTGAGGTGACTGTGTCTGTTGACGACGTGAATTCATCGAATTAACAGTAGAATTCCCATTTATATTAAGCTTATGAAGATTCTCAGAACTCTTAGATGGCCGAATAACATTTAATTGAGCATTGTGAAGCATGGATAATGAGCAAGAAGTACGAATCGGACGATCTGGTTCGTCCAGACCCATCCAGAGACCTGAAACAGAGGAGCTTATTCAAAGGCTGTTAGGCTCTCTCTCTAGAAAACGAGCTAGAAAAGAATGAGTTATATATGGAATGAAACAATGTTTCAAACGAGAAAGCAGATGTTCAGCCTTGGGCGGACCACATGCAAGCTCAAAACTTAATTTTCATCTCGTTCACTGACTGAAGAAGGAAGCGAGAGAAAGAGACACCCGGAATTTTGTGATAACGAGCAATTAAGCAAATGAATATTGTCTTTGAACTGACCAAGATGTGATGTTATCTTGCTCCACATCTCTGATCGTCTGGATCGAACGGCTGGAATTGTCTGGACGAATCTGGAAGAGCTAACAGAGTTAATGAGGTAAAGTGGGCAAAGCAGAGTGATATTGGAATGGAAGATAGATAGATAGAGAGAGAGAGAGATGGAGAGATGGAGAGAGAGAGAGAGAGGAAGAGAAAGAAGAAGAGAGAGGTTTACTTCTGAGGGGGAAGTACAAAAAATGGAAAATCTTAGGCGGAGAGACGAAACAAAAAAGAGGTACTTGCTCGGAAGCTTCATCATTTAGCATTGCTGACTGACTGCCGTCTGCGACAATTCAATTACTGTTCAATCTACATGTTTCCCTCGTTCTTTCTATCTTTTCAGAACAAAATGCCATAAAAGGCGATGACAAAGAAAGAGAGGAGAAAAAGAGAAGAGCGACTCTTAAGGAGAGCCATTGAAACTTCTTCATGCAACTCCAAATTAAAGTTCTCTCATAAGATACTCAGAAACTTTTTAGAAAACAATAGCTTAGAGATGTACAGACGAATGGATTCTTCAACTATCGAAGCTCTTACGAATTACATTCAACGAACATGAACAACAAATGGAAACATGATATTCGACCGTCTAAAACCCATTTTGGCTAGAGTTACATTATTTTTACGAATCGTTTGAAGTCATAAAAATGGCTGCGGACAATTCTATTTAAAGAAATAAAATAGATTAAAACACGTCAAGCGGAAGCATCAATATAAACAAACAAA